CTTTATCTCCTCATTCTCATTTTAATAGAAAATAAATTGCAGATCTGAACATAGTTCAGATTTTCGGAGTGAAAAACCAGCAGCAGCTTTATTTCTGTCCTTTCTTATTGCAGCTCAGCTCAGAAACTGGGTTTTCTTTGCAGCTTTGGAGCTTCTGGAGCTCAGGACACCAAATCCCATCAAACCTCCTTACATGTGGGACAAAAAGGGAGAAAATGACTGAGATGTGTGAAGATTTTAGTTCAGACCCTTTGAAAGCAAAGTGTGTAGGTGTCATGATTTAACTAAAGATCAGCACCAAATGCAGAGAAACCATTACAGAGAGACCAGGGAAAACGTTTAACAGGTTTATTGAGAAGTTTTGTGGAGGTTCCAGTGTTGCTCTGAACACTGCTCAGCCGGAACTGAAAGGTGAGGGGAAGACACTGTTAGTTCAGGTTTAGTGGGAAAATTTATTCTCGAACTTGAAGAGGAGAAAAGGTTGGCAGACTCACGTTTTCAGAGATTAGGTTGACTCTTAGATTCCAGTAGGTGAAGAATGTGTTCCGGTGTTTTTCTCATACGGTGAAGGGCGGACAGGGTTACCCAGAATGCAGTTGCTTGTAGATGAACGGAGAAAGACTGACTGCCACTCAGATTTCCTGCGGTACTTGAACGGACAGTTGTGCAGTTGAATCCTTTGCTCAGTGTGAAGCTCAAATGTTTCCTCGGAGAAAAGTGGATCCAAACTTCTGGTTTGTTTCATCAGCTCAGTTTCAAGCTCAGTTGATCCTTCCAGGGAGAGAAGGTCAGAAAAATCCAGTTTGCAGGATGACTTCCTGCCGAGAGGCAAAGACAAAAAACAACGTTAAGACTCAGGTTGACAAAAACTCTGTTTGACACAGCAAAACTCAGCTTGACTAGAGTACCCAAAACTGGCAAGCACTCTGGCGTCCAGGTAGTGGCAGTCAGCAGCTTAAGAACACTCTGTTAACGAGAAAACCCCTTGCAGGTGTGTGAGGAGGAGAATCAGAACCAGGCACTGCCTGGTGGAGGAAGGAAGACAAACACACAAAAACACAGACCACACAGACTGGAGTCCTAACAGTAGGAAGCCTTTCATTCCCAGTTCAACCGGATTATTCTAACTGATCAATGCTGTGTCTGAAAGCAGGTTTCTGAAGTTTAACCTTCAGTAAAATAAAAAATATGGAGAAATCCAACGTTAGCCTGGCAGCAGAGTTCAGAAATGTGGTTCAGGACGGGTCCGATTCTAACAGGAAGAAAACAAGCAGATTAACAGAAGAGTGAAGGACTGAGGAGGAGAGAAACACACAGAAATAAGGCGAGCTGTTTACTAAACCCAGGCTTTAAAAACTACAACTAAATGTGTTCTTTACTCAATTATGTTTAGTTTTATGAAAAGAACATTCAAAGTTTTAAAAGGTCATCTCTAATTCTCTCAGTCTGGACCTAAAAGTGCTCAATGAAACCAGTTCAGGCCTTTTTTTCCAGTTCTCTCAGGGGGAAATGGACCAGAGAGCAACAGTGATGATTTGAACACAAAGAGGAGGAATCAAAGCTTCTCTTTGGGATTAAATCCAACATGTAGGAGGGCAGCAGCCCAAGCACAACCAAAACAAAAGACTAACCTAACCTCCTGGTGGACAAAGAAGGCAGTCCCACTCCAGAGTCCACCATGATGACCTCAGAGAAGCAGGATGAACAGGGTTAGTCTGATGAAGACATTGAGACAAGCTGCTTTTTCACCTCTAATGAAAAACAAGATTTATTAGGAAAGAAAAAGCCCAGTTTGAGTTTCTGTAGCAGATGGTCAACATGAGGCTTGAAGGTGAGGGAGTCCCCCATCACCAAGGTATCTGTAGGTGTGAAGCATGATGTTTCCTTCGAGAGTGGACACAGTGGGAGACGTTGACGGCACCATCTGGGTAACTGAGAACTGATGGCATTCAGACCAAACCAAAGTACTCCTCCAGACTTCATCGAGCAGATCTTCCACAAAAGATGAAGGATCAAGCAAGGCTTATGCTTATTGATCGAATACATACTAGCTGTCCTCCAACATCGGCATGATCTCATCAACCTGACTCTGTTCCAGTTGTAGGGTTGAGCGATAAGGTGAGTGTGAATGTGATCCGGTTATTAAATCTCCAGATAAAGCTTTCAAGGTTTGAAAAGAAATCAGAACTTTCAGAATCTAATTGAAAAGCAGAAGAAAGGAGCTACAGTGAGAAGGGTTCTAGGAAATCCAGAATGAGGATTGGAGGAAGGTTGGAGGGCTGCAGTCTGTAGCTCTGCTGCCTTGCAGCAGGAAGGTTCTGGGTTTGATTCTGAGCCTGGGGTCTTTCTGCATGGAGTCCCCATGTTCTCCCTGTGCGTGTGTGGGTTCTCTCTGGGTACTCCAGCTTCCTCTTATGGAAATGCGTCAGCAGTCGCCATAATAAGTGTTTATCTGAACAGTGCTGGCAGTTACGAAGGAGCTAGGACCAGGAGGCAGGATGCTTCCTAGCTCCAATGCAGTTAGCATACAGACGTCTCTAGGCACCAGCAGGAGCTATACGGTTACACACAATCCTTTTTGTGACAGAGCGTAAAGGCACAGCCCACCTCACAGTTTAACCAAAGTCCATTATTTCCTGACATGTTCTCTGTGTGACTCATGCTCATATCCTCAGCTTCATATGTTTAGGATTTTATAGCAGAGAGCTTCAGCTGTTTACTACATTTACGGAACTTTGGACTTTTGTAGTTCTTTTCCAGGAGGCTGTAGTCCCAATTTGTCCAGCCTCAATAATGTGCGTGTCCTTTGTGTGATGACATCTATAAGGTTGAAGTATGTCTGGATTCAGCACAGCAGCTTGGAGCTTCTTTCCTACCCTGGATAGTGTTCTTACTGTTGACCCCACTAAAGGTGAAGGGATGGGAGCTAGGAGCTACAATCTGAGGTATTTGGATGGAGCCTATAAATGGCACTTAGATGTTTCTGCATGGTTTTGTCTCTACATTGTCCTCTAAAGGAATGATGACCTTTCCAAGGTGGACTCTGCCTTTCACCCATAGACTCCTGCAGATAGACACCAAAGCCCTGTAACCCTGATGGATAAATGGTAAAACATGGAGGAAGTTTGGTCATTTGTTAGGAAGAGAAACAGAGAATCTGGAACATGATCCAAGGAATGAATAGTTTAAGAAGAGATTATGGTTACCCAGTTTGACTTAATGAAGAACCAACAGCGTCACCAAGGAAGAAAAAGCAGAAATGTTGGTATGAGCATTTATCAGTATGCAGAGTTCAAATAATATTGGTGAAGAGTCGAGGAGGAGGAAACGATGAAAAAAGAAGAAAACAGTTTAATTAATTACCTTATTGATAGTGTAATTAAAACGAACCCTGAGGAGAATTAAGACGTCAACTGCAGGGAATTATCGAATGTTATATAATGATGAGTTCAAAGATCATTTTATTAGATTATTTAACAGAATATGAGAATGTGGAAAACTAACCAAGAGTTAGAAAGAGGCCACAGTGGTTCCAACACCAGAACCTGGCAAGGATTGTTCAAGACCAGAACATTATAGGCCGGTTGGTCCAACATCATGCTGGATTAAAATCATGGAGAAAATGGTTCATGAAAGACTTTTTATTGAATCCAATGGATATTTATCTAAGCATCAAAGTGCTTTTAGGAGGGGGAGGAACACCATGGACCCTGCAATATGTTAACAGCATGAGGTAATGAAAGCTAAAGTTAATAAAGAAAGTGTTGTGGCGTTCTTTCTAGATAGAGAAAAGGTTCATGATATGATGTGGAATTAATGATTAAACTGAGGAAAATAGAATCTATAACTGGTTCAATAACTTTTTAACAGAGCAGGTAATACAGGGAAGAGTTGGGACTCCAAGGAAGAATAATAAGTCCTTTATTATTTTCCGTTATGATAGATGATGCATTTAAAGAAGCAGAGAATGAAATGGGCTGTTCTCTTTATGCTCTTTAGCAAAACCTTTAAGTTGAAACTGGATTAAAAACAGAATAATCAAAATAATGTAAAAGCGTCTGATAGTATTGGAGCTTTATTAAGGATTAAATCGAATAACTGAAAAAAGTAAGATATTATTGATGGTATTTATCATTATATTTATCATCCTCTGAACAAACTTCATCTAAAGAAAATAACAGAAGAATTTTTTGGGTTCAGCAGATGTTGGAGAGGAGGGAAACAATGAGCTAAAAAGACACTAAAATCTAGAAAATGTTGATCTAGAAAATCCTTTAGTTAAAGCTGAATGTAAAATTATTATCAATAATTATATCAGAAAATATAGCAGACAAATTGAGGGGGAAACTGAAATAAAATTCAGAAAACTGTGGGTAAAAAAGGAAAGCAGAAAGAAACAGGAGAATAGAATCAATCATTTCATGATGCAGAATTGGTCAAACAGGTTTGAATAGTTTACTTAAAATAACTGGTAAACATGCAGCAGGTTTATGTGAAAGTAGCAACCTGCCTGAAACTGGTCAGCATGTGTTTATGGAGTTTATTGGTTATAAAACTGAAGGGAGACAGTTTAGAGAAACAATGGATCAAATGAACATTTACTTTTGAAAATATTTCCATAGTAAATTAATTGAATATCAAATATTGTTCGATTTAAAAAACAATTCATAAATAATTAGAGATTTTTTTTGTCTTTGTTTGCCGTAGAGCTCCTGTCTAAACTTCATTCCAGCAGGTGGCGGTAATGCACCTTAACAGTTGGTCTGTCATCCGCCATGATGGAAGAACAAAAACACAACAGGACAATAACCAGCAGCATTAGCTTAGCTTGTGTGTGGAGTCATTGTAGAGAGGCTGATAATCTGGGAGTGTTTGCAGTGAGAATGTCTTCAGTCCAGCTTCAAGGAGAGTTTATCACTGAGCAGTTAACTCCTGCTGAAGAAACATTCACGGAGTTTAAAGGGAGTTTGGTCAATTCGGAGGAAAAGATGGACGATCAACATCTACTGCTGGATTTCACCAGGATCCCCCAGATCATCTTACACCGGATAGGTAGGAAACCCCTGATAGAAACGATTCCCTGATGATGCACACTGTGGATTTTAGCCTCATCTGATTGGAAAACTGATTAGAGGAGATCAACATGCTAAGCTAAAGCTAAGTTCCGGTTAGAGTGGGAGTCCATGAAAGGCTAAAGTCCGCATCATGTTTGGTCATTGCAGCCTTTCGAGTGTGAGTTTATTGGTTTATTGTTTTTTGGAGCTTCCACTCTCTGTGTTTTACTTCTTAATTTATAATAACAAATAAAACTGTACAGCCGTACATTCCACAACCCGACAGCTCTCGCGAGGTTACCGTACATAGCCCTGAACCCTGTTGCATGCTGGGTATTGGAGTTTTAAAGCTTCCACCCTTATAACGTCACACTCCTCTCAACAGGGACAGAATTTCCGTCCGGAGCTCCTTGGAAAGTTAGTAACTGAATCCTGGAGAGCAGCAGCAGCTCCTGCTGGCGATGGTTCACTGATGGAAACATTTACAGACATCCTGTCATTTAAATATCACCACTGTAAACAGAATCTGGAAAAAGTCCTGTTGATTGTGAGTTCACGTTGTGCTAAAAAAAAAAAAAAAAAAAAAAAAAAAGGGAAGTCAGTTTTAATTTGGACATTTACACAGATGCCTGCCTTTAGTGCTTTATTCATAAAGGGCTCAAAAACATTAATGCGTAAAAAATGACGAATAACAGTCCATATCCAATGTCACAGCAATATATCATGCATCCCTAGTATGGACACAACTTCAATTCATAAATCCATCCATCCATGCATGGCTTCCCTTTAAGCTGAATCAGTGATTGTCCTCCTTCAACAAGCAGCAAAATCAGATTTAGAAATTTGTCCCATGTGTCATTAACAGCCATAGTCTATATATCGAACCTTATATTTAAATAATAATTTATACACTGACTTATATTTTAATTTAAAGTCTGTGTCCTGTGATTCTGGGTTGGCTGCACAGCTTTTTATGAGTATTTTTGAACAACAAAAGACAAAAAGATATGTTGTATTTTATTATAGCATGTTTTTTTTTTCTTGTAAACTTGGAGATATAGTTTATTGTATGTTGCATATCCCAGTAAATCTGTTTTACCTTTAAATCAGTAGGTGTTCCTAACTGTGTCTCTGTTCTGCTTAAAAACAGATTTATGAACATGTCTACCAATATAATGATGCCTGAAAAAAATCATTTTCAGGATCTCCAGAAGCTCTGCAGTCTGATTCTCTGTTCAATAAGAAAACAACAGATCTGTGTTCATTTGAATCTGTAACTCTGAGTATTGGTCCTGATAAGCCCAGCTTTTTAAATGTATATAAATATACACTCTGTTGCCATTTTTAGCTGAAAAAGCTCTGTATGTGTAACCAACAGATTGTTTCTGTGCCCAACGTCCACACCAGTCCTTCAGAAAGTTACGCCAGTTTCAAGATTTGTTTATTGGTATTGATATTTATCTTGTATACAAAAAATTATAAATATTTAGAGATCTTATATGCAAAATTAAAAGGTGTATCTTATTAAACCATTGCAGTGGCATGATCCATTATATATTTTGTGTCACTTCATCACAAAACCTGGAAACTATTGAGCAAAATTGCTAATATTTTAATAAATAAATTAGGGCTGCAACTAACGATTATTTTAAAAATCGATGAATCGGCCGATTATTTTATCGATTAATCGATGAATCGGACAAAAAATATTTTTATTTTATTTAATATATATATATATATATATATATATATATATATATTATATTTTATAATATTAATATTTTTTTCCAAAATAAACATTTTAGACAGAACAAACAAGCACACAAGTACAGGTTGCTCATTAACTGTACTGGTGCAATATGAAAAATAAATGTTTGTGTTAAAACTACGCAAACTTACATGAAAAATGTAGCTGTACATCCACAAAATATAGTGTACTTTGTTTCATAAAGCGCAAAAAAAGGCATTTTTGTTTTCTAAAGCCCCTAAGGGGTTCAAACAATAGGCCCCCCCATTTCAACAAATGAGTTTGTTTTTTTTTACTAGAAGAGTTCTGCCTTTTAAGACAGGAAAGTATAGCAGTTAAAGTTGCTACTTGAGAAAATACTGAACCATAGAGATAAAAAATAGCCCTGTGATTCAAATTATAAATTGTATTTGGAATAAAAATGAGAGAACTAGGGGTGCTAAAAAACACATCCTCCAAAGACAGATATTTACATGGTAATGTGGCATATAATTAATTGACATATTACTGATCTTGCTGGATTTTATACTTTACTTCCATAAATTGCAGGATCTTCTTTACTTTATCTTTGCCAGAAGATTTAAACTTCAAAAGCCTTGCCCTCATAATTTGCAAGATTTATAAAGGCTATTTTAATTATTGTGATCAATTTGCACCGTCAATCCCGGCACATGCGCGCTTCATTTGCAGTCTGGACGCTGAAACAGGCTGCAGCGGGATGCTTCTCCAAGTACATCCTGCGGCTCTGATTGCAGCGCTAAGAGAGATTCCTGCGGGAGAACGGGGTTGGGAGAGGGGAGGCGCCCCACGGCAGCAGCTGCCGCTGGAGGACAAGAGTAGGAACGATACATGCTTTCACGTAAGAGTCTCCAAAAGCCGCCAATGACACCGTAAAAAGTCGCCAGATTTGTCGCTAGTCACTTTTTTAAAAAAAAATAGTCGCTGGAGGGGTCTAAAAAGTCGCTAAATATAGCGACTAAGTCGCTGAGTTGGAAACACTGCGCACCTGCGGCGCTGACTCGCTCTGCCGTATCTTTTTTTTTCTTCCCCTTCAGTCAAGTGGCAGTGATAATGGCGGCAGCGGATGACGCAATAATCGCGCGACACAACTAATCGATGATGAAATTCGTTGCCAACGCTTTTAAAAGTCGATTTTTATCGATTTTATCGATTCGTTGTTGCAGCCCTAAAATAAATGAATAAAAAATAGATATTAAAGATTTGAAATGCAAAAGGTAAAGGTGTAAATTTTGAATATAATAGAGTACTGATATCCAATTTTTGATTTTGGGTCTATTGATCACATGACCTGGAAGCTATTGAGGAAAAACGCTAATATTTCCATCTAAAAATTAAAGAACGAAATATTAAAGATTTGAAATAGGAAAAAAAGGGCGTAACTCTTGAAGCAAATGGAGAACTGTGATCCAACACTGATTTTAAGTTAATTGATCTCATGTCCTTGAAGCTATTGAGCAAAAATTTTCATATTTCTATATAAAAACAAAATTCAAAATACTTTGAGATTTAAAGCTACAGTGTGTAATTTTTAGCGATATCTAACGTCCAGACTGCAGACCGCAGCAACATGAACATCTCCCCCCCACCGCTTCTCCCCCCCAACAGTACAGCGAGCGTTACGGGACAAAATGTCTTCCACGACGTCCGCATCACCTACCTTCTCAAGTGATGAGGTTTGTTTACATAGATAATTTTAATACTGCCATCTATTGTTCAGTACCGTCTCAGTTCATTTCTCTCAACGTGCCGTAGTTACTTTCGAGCGTAATGGGCGATCTCGCAATCGCTAGTTTGTTGGCTCTGCGCTGCCGTAGCGCAAAGATGTCTGCCTCCATGGCTGCGAGACCCGCTCCTATGTAATTATAAATAACGAATTCTAAGGCAACGCAAATATTAAGGTTAAGAGGCTGAGCTCGTAGATGATGATAAATAACATAGTTATGTATAATATATTACATTTCTGACTGTATATCCCTGTAATTATTACACACTGTAGATTTAAAGTGGAAAATATAGGCGTAACTTTTGAAGAAGATGGAACACAAATATCCAGAGTTTTTTCCTCCATGACCGCCAGGGCAGCGGCACGCTTGGCGTCACGATACCTGCTTGCTGCCTCAGGTGTCCCACAAACCAAACAGACTCGATAGGACTCCTTCTTCAGCCTGACAGCATCCCTTAGTGCCGGTGTTTACTAGGCCTGGGAAAAAAATTTATTCAAAAACTTAATTCCAATTTCTTGTTGCGGGTAATTTTAAAGAAATGTAATCTTTATGTATATAACGGCACATTTTTGGCTCCATGGAGTTTTTCTATAGCTACAGTATTACTCTTGTCACATGAAACAGGAAATGACATAACTACAAGTGTCAAGTTTTTTCTTAAAAAAGGAATAAAATTATCTGTTGTTAGGAACTGCAGGGCTTAAAGTTCTCCAGCATAGTGGTGGATTTCCGGCTTGCGGCAACTGTGGTTGTTTTAGAGGAATTGGGATTGTGTATTGTAATTCATATTTTAAAACTGTCAGAAAAGGTTCTCGGTCGTGGCCGGTGGCCGATGTCGGATATTTAGTTTTAAGGCCGATACAGGCCGATACTGATAGAGGGCCGATTATATTGTGCATCCCTAATGAAAATATTAACATTTTTGCTCAATAGCATCCAGGAATTGTGATCAATTGACTTATTCAGTGTTGGATCATAGTTCTCTGCTGGATTCAAGAGTTAGGGCTTTTATTTTTTTATTTCAAGTCTCTTAATAGTTTTTAAATATTTATGTCTAAATATTGGCAGTTTTTCTCAATAGTTTCCAGGTTTTGTGATAATTGACATAACTATAAGGGATCATGGTACTGGACTGGTTTCAGGAAATGCAACTTTTAGTTTTGCATATGAAATATCAAAATATCTATCATTTTTTGTATATAAGATCAAATTAAATATTCTAGCTTGATATCTCCTCGGCTTTAAAATCTAGGGCCTACACTTTTATTTTGAAAACAGTAAGTTGCTGTAGCACTTGTTGTGGTACATACCGTTTGACATCATTATTTTGTGGAAAATTTGATTATTTTGTTCAGAGAGTTCAGTAAGATATATTACATATTATGCCTTAGAGTTGAATAAAGCAAATTTATGCAGAAAATATACCTTGCAGGTAAAAAAAATAATGCAGAAATCACTTTTTGGAAAGTAAAATAGTCATATTCTGTGTATTTTGTGGATTGTTTC